ATCATTACTATAGTAATAATGAAGTCAGGAGTATGGAATCCGATGGTCTGTAGTGTCACACAATTCAAATATTTATTGGTCAAAGCGCCCACATTATATATATGCATCGTGCCTAAATGTCAGGCATTCGTATACCAGTGATAAACCTAGTTGATTATAAAATTAGGACTGACCTAAGTTCGTTGAGTGATGAAAGAAAACATGCCTTAGATTTGTGTGGTATCCTGCCTTATGAGACGACTGAAGTTATCTTGATTGTATTGAACCCCAAAACGGGTGCATCGAATGGCTTTATTTTTCAATTTCTTTGGCATTTTTGGTTGCTTGTTATCTCCACCTTTATAATCTAACCAATAACTCATTGATTTGTATATTTACAACACACCAACATGAATATCAGTCTTCATTAATGTAACAAAAGGCTGGGTGACTTCTAATAAGCTCTTTGCGGGTACGTAAAGATTCAATTTTTTAATAATGTTCGCTGAAGGAGTTGATACCCCTAGGTCGAATAAAGTGTTGCGTTTATTGACTATTCTGTAGCAAAAAAGTGAGTTCATACTTAGTTGATCACACCATCGTTCTTGAAATTTTTCGTCATGTCGTTGAAAAAGAATTAGTCTTGCAAAGTAAGAAACAATAAGACATCAATGCTGAGGCTTTCACTAACGATACTGAATGTTAACACCAGATCACTTTTTTCTTAGAGGTAAGATGGCGCGAGATGACTAGGTAGATCTCGTAGCCCACCAAATTGGGTTGAGAGAGTTAGTCATTAGCCCAGTATCTGCCCTCTAGGGACGTCTATCGGCTTCTGGCTGATCACAAGCTGCGTGTCTGAATCCAGGACTCTGAGTGAAGTTACATGTATGTGGGATAAAGTATCCTGAACATATCCTCATCAAACCTTTCAAATGCTTTATGAAGGGACTTAGGCTCATACAAACCTTTGAGATCAGGCGCATTGCAGCGCACGTATGTTTTGACAAATTCTGTATCTAAAAAAGCTTGTTTCTAGTTGATTTTAAGGAATGTTCTACTGGATTCTGTACCCAGGAATCTCTAATGAAAATTACTTAAACGGTTAAAACATCGATGTAAAACAGAACAAACTCCTCAGACATCGATTGTGATGATGCATTGATGACGCCAGGTACTATGAATATGGAAAGTAGGGGTCTTAGCTGAGCATTCGAATGCTTCGATGAAGGCATGCTTCAGATCTAATATCTCGCCTTTTTGCAATCCCATCTCGAAAATTGTATTCATGAAGGTAGTTTTTACTTCATCAAAGATGTTAGAGCACTAGAGTGCTTTTAAAGACCTGGCACTAAGTTGGTGGCTGATCTATCCAAATTTATTTAATAAGGACTGTTTACCATGGCTGTCCTTCGTCGTTGTCTTGTCTTAGGAGAAGAGGAGATCTAATATTGGCATTTTGTATCTTTAACAAGGACTTTGGGATCGATATATCCTATTTCTTCCTTCTCAAGGACTAATCATCTTTGAGACCACCAGGAGAACACTTAAAAACCATGGTGATATCAACTTAGTTTGAGTTTACGCTTTTCATACATAGCGAATAACGACTGAAATTCTACCCAAGCAACTAGTATCAGCCTTTTCCTCGAACGTACCTAGAGAAAAGCTAAATCTTCACAGAGAAAAGTACTGCAAAAAGTAGCACAAGGCAAACTGGCCTATTGAAGTCAGCGGTTTTCAAGGCTCCTCGGGGAGCTAGCACTCTCCGTAACCGGCTCATTGAACATCATATTTAGACTGTTTGTAAGTGAGCGCATACCCCGATATGACTGAAAGGGTGCCATAGTCACAGCTATTCTCAAGACAGATTCTAGAAGGCACCCACCAAATTACAGATTGATAAGCTTAGCTAGTGTTGCAGTTAAAAACCTAAAAGGAGTACTAAAGGAAACCAACTGAGTTAACTTTAAGACCAAGACCCCATTACACTATATTTGCAATATGACTTTCATAGAAGTTTACTGTGCATGACAGAACCTCTCATAGTCGGAGGAAGTTTAGTTTAATCTGTGGATGGTGGGAATCGTGTAGGTGTCATTTTCACCAACTTGAGCAAGGCGTTGGTAGGGTACCTCACTCCAGGTTGTTCACGAAACTGGAAAGTCTCAGAATCGGCAGCGGTCTTTTGAGTGGACTAGACAGTTGCTTGTTGGTGGGAAACAAGAAGTAAGAATTAATCCTTAACTTTCCTCTTGGAAGTAAGTACAGAGTGGAGTGCCGCCAAACACAGCAATGAGTTCCATTATATTCTTCCTGTGCATAAATGGACTGCCGGGCATCACGAAAACCCCAGTGATTTTCTACGCTGGTGTAAAAATCTCGCGAGAAATAAGGGATGAAAGCCATGTACGCAAACTTCATACAGACCTAAACAGTTTGTTGACCTAATCACAGGAATGACTGGTGCTTATCAACTGAAGTGTAAGCATGCACACGAAGGGTGTAGACGATAAGACCTATGATACCGGTGGGATTTCTCTGTTCTAAGTATTGACCTACAGTGACCCAAGAGTTATAATAAGCCATGATTTTATGACCACAGCGTACTATCAGTTGGTTGAAGCTCTGAGTTTTAACACACTAGGAATTCAGTAGAACTTTTACTGGGATATAGTGATATTTTCACCACCTGATATACACCCTTAGTTAGATCTAAACCACAAAACCGTACACAAAAGGCAAATCCTTGTCTGAAGGGTAACTCAAACCTTCTAGAAAGAGTTCAGAGGATAGCCACTGGTGTAATCTTTGTGAATTCTGGCCTGGTCTATAAAGAACGACTTCATAAGCTAAACCTCTTATCTTTATCACATCGCAAAGAGAGAGGAGATCTAAGCCTACCATGCAGAATTTTAAAGAATGACTTCAGACCTGCTAAATTTTCTCCTTTTCTTCTTATAAGTTCAGAACACACCAGAAGCAGAAAAGGAGAATAAAAATGACGGGAAAACTTCGTCTCTGTATATTTGGTTTTCACGTCACGTAATCAACTTTCAGGACTGACTCTCAGAGGAAATGGTATCCACATCATCAGTTGACTCATTTTAGGGAGCACCGGGCAAGCACGTAGATCTACTGGGAAAAAAATTAACACAGGCTTATGTCTTCTATCCTCAAACCACAAGTCTGAATCTGAATATCTTCAGCACTCATCTGAACAGTAATAGTATCTGAATACTCTATGAACTGCAAGATGATAGTGCAGTATCATACTCGAATCACCACTCATTTAAATCTTGAAACATGCCTTCTTTAGACACGTTAAACTGCTGGAAAATTTGTTTACTCATGTACATGCGTAAATTAGTAAAATAAGAGCAGTCTATATGTGGAAACATTGGTACCATTTCATGCACAAAACTAGGTGGTAAATTAACTACTTTAACCTGTGACATTGCAAACTGTACATTGTACAACATTTTATACTCCCTTATTAATTTCAAGTGATGTTGTTGTGAAATAGTGAGGTCAATTTCTTGTTCAGTGCCTTAAGTAAAACCACGAACGTACGTTAGTGATTAGTATCTGATGACATTCTTTAAAGGTATTCAAGTGAGATGGATTGTAGGCCATCTTATTAACTTTATAATGTGAAAAGATGCATGTGTAATCTTAAGTGCTCGATATTCATAACCCCTTACAGGAAAAGTAACCCAAGAACTTGCATTCCTGGAAAAGAAACAGGTTATTTTATCAAGAGATAACGGTTGTATATGTCTTAATTAGTGTTTTAATCAGAAGCTCGTGGATCCAAAACATTTTGTTTGATAACTATAAATCAAGTCTGTGTAATAAGTCTGCTTCTATATAAGTCGGGTGAAGTATAGATATTTTCACCGTATGTTTGCACTTCAGAACTGTCTTTCTTGAATTCCTTTCTGTCTTTACAACAGTTATCCAAATTTTGATGTCACTATGCAAGCGACCTGATGTGGTTACTTACAACACTTAATTCATCCACTGACGATTAGCTTAGATCAGGAACAATACTTTCTAGTGAGTTTGGCCTAAAATCCATTTGTTTGTGTTTTCAAACTACCAAGTGTGAAGTATTTTTGTAGACTCTTGCCAATTTTTTTCGTCTAGCTTAACCAAAGCTTCTGTATGGGGTATTATAAACAGCCTTCAAAGAAGTATGACAATTCTTCGATATAAGGTAACGACTAATCATAGCGAAGAGAAAAGAAATTAAATCAGCAACTCTGTGAATAGGACATTGGTGGAAATAATCTTTCGAATCCCTGTGAACGTATAAGTACGTGGTAAGAATCAAACATTATAAGGCGAGAAAATACGAAAGTGTTCTTAATTATTTTCAAAAGATCTAGATTCTTAATAAATGTGATACTAGTTTATTACTGGCTGAAAAAGAGTTATATTCCTTAAGATACTTTCATTTTCTTTCCATAATGATGTTTTCCTAAACTCTAATGTACTAGTGACACAACTGTAAGTTCAGTATCTTTTCAGTATTCTTTTATTGCTTTTGTCAGCAGAATCCAACCATTACTGCCCAATGCTTTCAAAAATAAGCGTATGCTTAAGGTTTTAAATCTGTATTACATTTTGTTATCGTAGGGAAGACAAATCGTACCTTATTAAGTTGCGTAAACGTTATCTGCTTCTGCCACGAGCTCTAGTACTAACCAAAGTAAACCTATATCAGTGTCATGCAAAAGTAGTTCACTGTGAATAAAATTATTGCAGGCATAACCGTAACTTCATTTAGAAAATGCACACAACCAACGAACATATGTGTCTAAATTCGTTTCCCTAGGTACAAGAAAATTTCTCGGAGGGCTAAAATCCTTAGTTACTCGCTTTCAACTTCTTTACACAGGACATGATTATTTTAGTACAAGCAGTTGTATTGACTTTATTTCTCGCTACAAGACTGGATTTAATCTGTTTTTTTGCAACGATATGAACTATTCTTTCTCTTTTCACTACTATATAGGATGAATTCGCAGAGTACTTCATCAAGAAATGAACAGATTTTCGACTACTCAAATTTTCTGTCTACAGAAGATGAGAGTTCAAGTTGGAAACGATCAACTAGTGATGCAAGTTTTTTCCTTGGGGGAAAATTACCTACAGATGAATGGTAGTGTTACTTGCAGTTTGACAAGTATTTCCTAACGTTTACTTTAGCGATACATCTGGAAATGTTTCGGAGAATTCAAGAGTATACTGGGACTTACCGGAAGCTGTAGAAGCCTCAATTACACCTAGTTGCGGGAATGATAAAACTCATAGCAATTATGAAGTACGGAAATCAGAAAAATTGTCAGTTGGTTCCGGTAAACATTTGGCTTTTTTGTAATACTGTTGTTTACTATCATCCCAACAATGCTTGTAATTTATTAAACTGAATTTTACTCTCATTGCAACTACAGTGATGAGCGTGAGTGACTATTTTTGCAACTGTAGTATAGAATATGAACGTATCACGCTGATAAAAAATATCCAAACTTCACGAAAATGAATCAGACATCAGGATATTATAGAATTCTTTTACGAAGAATTAGGATTTTCATTAATATAGGTGTAAAACTTGGGCACTGTGGTAGAGTTTAATTCCATATTAGATTTGTTTATTTGATTTATAACATACAGTGATATAGTATTATTTACTTGATGACGTTTCGAGCATAAATTGTCGCTCATAATCATATCATTGATTATGAGCAATAATTTATAATATAATAATACTAGATCACTGTGTGTTATAATCAAATAAACAAATATAATATGGCATTAGGATTTTCAAATATCATCAGTAGGTTTACTGCCGTTTAAGTTAAACGCAATCATGCTTCCATTCATTTTTTTGTGACCATCTTTTCAATGGTCTGAAAAAAATATTCTTCTTTGGTTCACGAGCCAACTGATCAATATCATGTGCGATTAGTGTACATTATTTAAGTTTTTGCTGTTGCCCATATTTGCAAAGAAATCGAGTAGAATGGACTGAAGGTATAAAATAATAGAAGAAACTAGAGAAAAAAATACACCAAGGGACGGGAATCAAACAGTTATTGTGTAAGAAGATGCTAAGTTTATTTAGATCAAGATTTTTAAAAAATTTATCCTTCCCTTTATCATTAACTAAGAGCCGCCTGTCATAAATTCTTTCTAACTGTAAGTATAGAAGTCACTTGACTCGCAATTAGAAAGCCTGTTAAGTTAATCTTAAAAATACTCCATGATTTCTGAACCTAATTTAATTTTCAATAAATTTCCCGATAAATAGTAAATATATGTAAAAATAAGCTGCTTGATAGTTAAAATGATTAGTTTGACACTGTTATAAACTGCTACTTAAATCACAATGTAGTCTACTGTAACGACCAGTTGTTGGTAGATTTACGCCTAGCCTGTTGGTACGTTGTTGTAGCCGGCGGGCGTAGGTAACTGTTATTTTCTGCAGTGGTCATGAGAGTTTGGAAGAAAAAAAAGGACAACTCAGCAAACATAAATAATGTGATTAGGTATAATAATGTAAGATAATCGACATATAGTGGTGATTCACAGCGGAAAGATTAGACAATTTAGAAAGTGAAACTATAAAGTGGATGAGTAAGTTGTCAATTACGTTACACTACCATAAATCTTTAAGAGTATCAAGCGGTAGTTTTTCTCAGGAATAATTGCCTTGAAGACATTCTGTAAACATCAGAAGTTGTATCATAAGAACCCACTACCTTTCCTCAACCCTGCCAAATGTGAGTATACAACTCTTTTAGAAAAATGATTGGTTAAACAAAGAAATATACAACACTTCTAAAACAAATAACGTAACTTGTTTCATTAACCGTAAGTATTATTGGGAAGTGCAAGTCTCAAAATCTTTATTAAAATTTAATTTTATAACAATGTATATGTGATATTAATAATGGCTAGTAGCTAGCAGAGGAATCCACGATGCGCGTTTCGTCCAACTTAGGACTCACTCGTCAGCTGTATCTACCTGCACCCCAGTGAGTGATGTTGCTCCCACTGCTACTCGAACCTCGTACCCATCTGTTCAAATGCCAAGACTCTATCCACTAGGCCACTGAGGTAGGTTAGCCACCTCTTGTACAACGAGTATTAGTTATTAATATTTATTGATATGCTTGTATGCTTGGATAAAGCCTTGGTGTTTGAAGTGATGGGTACGAGGTTCAAGTCTCAGTGGGAACGGCATCACTCACTGGGATGCAGGTACACCCAGCTGACAAGTGAGTCGCAAATAGGACGAAGTGCGCGTCGTGGGTTCTTCTGTAGCCACAACCAAGTAAATTAATATAATTAGTATTCAGGCAGTATCAAGACATCCACATAGGAGCCCATATGTTAATAGAGGTCGAACAATTCAACCAGTAAAACAACGGAGAATTACAAGTATATCAATAAATAGTAAAGAGTAAAACATAGTTGGAAATAATTACTGTAACGTTATGACATATAGTTTCCTGGTTCTTAGTGTATTATTGATTTGGCTTAGTGTGGTAAATCCTGGCAAATCAGTAAATGATTGTCAATTTGTATTTCAATGAGAATGACAATTATTTGACGTCTTCAGAGTTTCAATATTTGTTTATGAAGTCTTCATCATCAAACTTGATGAGGTTGATGGTGATTTCATGGTTGATGTAAGCGTGGCTTAATATACTCCCTATTATTCACCATCTTTAGGAATATCCAGAAAAATGAAGTTATTGTCAGTAAAATATTCTGTTCATATTTTTGCACATTTATCGATGTTTACTTCTTTTCTTCTTGCTTATTATTTACTGAAATATTGTAAAAACAAATTATAATTATGAGCTGTGGTGATAGTAATGGCAGAGGTATTTTCTGCTCGAAACTGTAGTTAATCTTCTGAATTCATTCGATTTTTTATGTTATTGGTTTAGCTACATCATCACGTGTTCAATTTCATCGAGTACACTTTCAAGAACATAACTTATCACCATTAATACCTGTTATACGTAAAGATGGTACAAATCGTTCACAGTCTACATCAATTTCACCTTTTCAAGCTTCAGAAAACTCACATTTACTACAACAATATCAAGAACAACAACAGGAAGAGTATAATCTCGATTCAACTCGACACGTTTCTGTTCAACATCATCATCATCATTCAACATCAGGTAAAAATCAATCAGTATCATCAAGCTGTAAATTCATCATGCAATCCACTGATCATCAGTCTGATTTTATTAATCAGGATTCAATAATTCTAGGCAATAAACCTATGCGAAAAGAGTTTTTCAACGAGTCTAGGTCATCATCATCATCTTCGGGTACCCTTAGTAATAAATATAGTACTTCACTGAATAATGCTTTCGATAAACGTTCTGACAATGGAAGTAGTAATGATGTCAGCTTCCAGAGAATCGAACAAAAAATGATTCAGAAATGGAGAAATTACGACTTATTACTTTGTCACCTAGTATGTTATCATTGACGACAACAAAACCATCAGATGGAAATATTACAATTACTAGTCAACTACCAGTTGAAGGTGGGATTGAAAAAGAAATGGATATGAACCGTCTGAAAGAAGAGTATAAGGTAGTCACATAATTTTCACATAAGCTGGTTACTGTCTGTTATTTATTCTGCCTTCATATGACATGATCTTTTCACCCTTGTTATCATCTGTAAAATTAATACAAACAGAAAGAAAAGATCAATGTAGAGTGTCGCACAAAAGTGCATTGGTTCAACTTGTCTCACTTCATAGAAGCACGCTAAAAACAAATGAGTGAAGAAACACTGATATCGAAGTACGCAGAAGTGTTTGAAGAGAGAAGCAATTTAAAAATCCAGGTTAATAGAAATGTTCAGACTTCAGAAGAAGTCAAAGAGTGAATACGTCGGCGCCATTGTGATCAATTTACAGCCATTTTATCAAGGGTATGGAGCCATAAATTTCTGTTGTCTCGAGAACATCAATTAGGCAGTCTACACTTCCATACACTACTCAGACCGCTGGTCAAAGACCTCATGAACTGCAGCCATGTTTTGGTTTGGTCACTTTGAGCCTGCTTTATATACAATCCTGATTCAGTCAACATTACACGCTGATGTAGACGGTGATAGTATTTGCAACATCTGCCTAAGCCACATAAGTTGGTAATACTTCATAAATATTGCAATTAAAGGCATTACTGTCTATCGAAGCTGTTTCTGTAGAGAGTTTATGTAATTACTGCATACAACAGTGAAAATATGCATGTATTTGTAACAGACATACCATAACTTAGGAAATTCAGTTTGCTTAATCATGCTGAAACCTATTGATAAAATCGAACAGGTGCTTATTCATGCACTGATGTATAATGGTTAGCAAATAAAATAAATACACAATTACAATGAATTATTGATAAAGTATGTTTAATGCTTTACACAGAATTTTCTTGTACGTTTTAGATTGTGTTTTCGTTTTTACACCAGTATGATGCTAGGAACTAGAAAACTTTCTAAATTCAATTTTTAGGTAGATTCAGTTCAGTGCATCTGCATGATCCAGTCGGCTATTATTTACTTCAACATAGCATCCATAGCCAATGTCGTCTCAGTTCATATTTGATTGCACAGGTTACTCGCTTTTACTGATTTCGGTTTAATGACACTCGAAATTTGTATATCAGGAGGTTTGGCATAAGTTGACTTTGACAAGGTTTCATATTATAAGTCTGAAGCATGTTAGGTTGGCAGTCATGTAGACCAAGTTTCCATGATTGCTTGTAGGGAAAAAAGAATAGTATCCCTTCGTATTCCATTTAAGCCATTTAAGCCATATAAATGAATGCAGTATGTTGAACACTTTTTGAGTCAAGTAAGTTGGAATCTATTTGTTAAATGTCTTCCCAGTCTAACTGATTTCTCAGATCTAAGTGAATTATAAGAAACAGAGAATACTTCTTTCTACATAAACATCATAGCGAAATCGGAAGGAATAGCCAAACATGTGGGTCGCTGTGCTGACAGCATACAATACATTTTTCATTAAACTAGAGTACTTTTCATGTTTATCCGCGCCTGCCCGCACTACATGCACACAAATTCAAAACAAGGACGTAGTCGTTTGTTAAACACAATGAAATATACGCATTTCGTTGTACTCTTTTTAGTTATATACAAGCTGATAATGAGATTAAATATTTTTTCATAGCTGCTGATAAATTATTCGGCCATTATTTAGTGTAGTTTAACAAAATGACTCATTGGAAAATATCCCATATTTGACTGAATTGCAGTATCTTCCCTTGACTCACTAAATCGGACAAGAGACAAATGTTACGATCACATTTTCCGAAAGATAGCTCTGAAGTGCAGCATGTTGAAAAATACTTATCGTTGTTTCATTATTACTTTTTGATACTCCTATTTTCCCGTTGTTAGTCTAGATCGAATTGATTAACCTCTTTTGGCTTCTGTGCAGATGCTTCGATATTGCTTAATTATTCATTATGTTTTAATTTGCTTGATAGAGGCTAGGATGAAACTTGTCCCATGGATTGCACTGCTAGACACCACCAAACCAATCACAGTTGCTTTATTATACTGTCTAAATTTATCAAAAAGACTTACTAGTTTTAACCCTTCATTTGACTACATTTTTATAATTCATAGGCCAGGTGTGGGTACAGTTGGAGAACCACTGAAAACCTGGGAGCACAGTGGACAGCTATCTCATCTTAGTATGGGATTCCTCAGCAGTACGTTCCCACGACCCGGCTAGGGATCGGACTTAGAACGTTCAGGTTTGACAGAAGTTGGAAACTGTGGGTCATTGAACTCCGGCCCAGTTCCTGAGTGGTTAACGCGTTCTCCATGGAACCTGGAGGTCGTAAGTTCAATCCGTGGCCGGGTCGTAAATGCGTCCTGCTGAGGAGTTCTATACTAGGACGAAACAGATGTCCAGTGCTCCCAGGCTTTCAATGGTTTTCCAACTGATATCAGTCCGTGATGAATGCTACCTCAAAAATTGATAATAACGTTTCTATCTAGTTGATGTTATGTGGCACGCTGAAAATTCCATACAGTATTCTCGGAATATCTTCCAGAATAAAACCATCATTATTATTAGGATACTTGCTACAAAAACAAGTAACCTATATACGATTAGATAATTATCACTTGACTATCTGAGATAGCCATAGTTTGGAAGACTAGTATTTATACTGGCTGATGATTGAAGGTGATATGAAAATTTGGACTGCGGCCGGATTCGAACCAGCGACCATCGGGTTCCCGGCCCGAGTATAAATGCTAGTCTGCCAAACTACGGCTATCTCAGATAGTCAAATGATAATCAATATAATGCACCCCCACCCCTCGAATTCAGTTACATTTGGATTGGGATGAAAAGTTCTGACTAGGCAGCCAGTGTGAATACTATCAAGCGGTAGTAACGCGTCACGAATTCACGTGTTAGTGGGGCAAAACCAACCTTGGTGATTGAAGTAAACTAAAAATCTGGTCGGACCTTGTAGATCAGTTGATAGGACATGGGGCCGAAAACCTGATGGTTGCTGGTTCGAATCCGGCCCAGTCCAAATTTGATTAGATAACTGTCACTTTTGAAGAAAATACAACAATTTGAGTATGAAAAGGAAGCCTTTATATCAAAGACCTTTTGGCATATAAGAAGTACTTTGATGCATATATAACTGCATAAACCATACAATTCTCTACCTAACACTGACACTCATTTTCCTTAGTTGATACACTCGCAAGAAAATAGTATGAATAACTTAATGGATTTTTCTATTTTAAATTTGCTTGCTATTGAGTTTTAAATGTGAGGAAATGCTACTTACTTATTTGTTATTTAGTTTACAAAAAGCCATCATTTAACAGCTGAGAGTTTCATTTCATATAAGTGGACTAATTAATGTCATCAAATCCCTGAAGTAGAACACCATCATTCTGAGCCAGATATTTGCAAAGTTTAAAGTAATAACTAGCAACAACAAAGTATGTAATGCCTCACTCCCATCTAGAAAGCTGCTTCCTCAAGCACAGATTTACCCATCCATTTACAGCTATAATGAAATTCCTTAAAAAATCTTTTAATAATAGTAGTGATAAAGTTAATGCAAAAGTAATGGTCAGTGTTAGTCTTTTAAAAAATAGGTATATATATATATATATAAAATAATATTCGCCTCAATCAATGAGTTTTAGTATCGAAACATGGACAAACTATCCTTTACAACACGGTTCAGCATAATTACAGTATATTTCCGGATAAATTATTCACTGTTGGTTTTTAAACACTGCAAACTGGTTAATTTTCTTCTTGGCCATGACTCAGTGACAACTGCTATTTTTATTACTAAAATCCAAAATAACCGTTAGTTAGGAACCTCGAATGTCAGTTCCCATTACTTATATATCACCATATGCCTCAGTGTAAGCCTTACTGCATGTATAGTTAGTGGTTAATTAATTATATGAAAATTATTATTTAGGAAACACTGAAAACCATACAACTATATCGGTGACTACTTTGTTCACATAATCCAGCTATACAGGTGATCAAATTTGTGACATGAATAATTTAGTGGTAAGGTTTTTAAATTTAACAGCCAGTGACACAAGCTCAAACCTTTGAAGGGGTACAAGATCATGAATATATCTTGTTCATTTGTACTGCCGAGCATAAGACCTAGGTTCTGGACTTTTTAGCTGATTGATCCATAACATTTTTAATAGTTTTCTGTAATGCAGAAACTTCAGTATTAAGTTTACTTCCGTGACTAAACTTTTACACTCTTCATAAATGTTAATAGATCAGGACTACAGGTTGGTGGATATACAGACCACAGATAGAATTATCTGTAGATTTTGTTATGATAGAGTATGCAACTAGCATCAATCATCATCGAATATACGCGTTCCCTTGATTATTTTTCAAAAAGGTGAAAAGAAGAATTTGTAGAATAATATGAATTAATTATATTCTATGTTCAGTTCCAAACAGCCCTGAGAACAGATGCAGGGACAACAGCGGACATGCTTACACCACTATTGCAGAAGGTCTGGAAGGACGGAAAGGTTCCTACCGAGTGAAAGAAGGGCTACGTTGTCAAACTCCCAAACAAGGGGAACCTAAGTCTTTGCAAGAACTGGCGCGGAATCGTGCTCCTATCCACCCCAAGCAAAATATCATGCCTCATCATCCTGGAGAGACTAAAGAATGCGCTGCACTCAAAACTACGACCGGAACAGGCTGGATTCAGGAAGTACAAATCATATGCGGACCAAATCGCAACACTACGCATCATCATAGAACAGAGCATAGAACGGCAGTCAACTCTCTACCTCAACTTCATCCACTTTGAAAAGGCCTTCGACAGCATCGACCGAGAAGTAATTTGGCAGTTGCTTCAGCACTACGGAATACCACAAACCTTTATCAATCTCATTCAACAGCTGTATGAAAAGGCCACATACCATGTGATCCACAATGGAAATCTGAGTGACGCCTTTTAAGTTTGGACAGGAGTAAAACAAGGCTGCCGCCTACTATCATTGATGATTTTCCTGCTTGTGGTGGACTGGATCATGCAGCAAACCGTGAGGAGTGAGAAGAGGGGAATACGCTGGACTGATGAAAGGATCCTAGAAGATTTGGATTTCGCCGATGACTTGTGTCTGATGTCGCACAAACTCGGAGATCTACAGACAAAAACTAACAAGTTGGCAGAAGAGGCAGCGAAGAAGGGACTTCAAGTGAACGTAGAGAAGACAGAGGTGATGAAGATACCTAACCAACAACAACAGTAACAACAAGCTTCAATCGACATCAACGGGAGAAACCTAAAGGAAGTAAACTCCTTCACCTATCTAGGCAGCATCGTTTCAACTCCAGGCGGCACAGACGAGGACGTCAAAGCCGGATTCGGAAAAGCGAGACAGGCATTCAGTAACCTGAAACCAGTGTGGAGATCTTCTGCACTCAACATAAAGCGTGAACAACATCCGGATTTTCAACGCTAATTCAGTCAAGTCAGTGCTTCTATGTGATGGTTGAGAGACTTGGTGCGCTACGAAAAGCAAACTACAGATATTCATCAACAACTGCCTACGCTAGTTACTGAAGCTCAGATGGCCAGAAATAATAAGCAACAAGGAAATCTGGCCTGCCAACGAACCAACCAAGAAGCTATCGCTCAACAAATATGCAGAAGTGGAGATGGGTTGAGCGTGCACTAAGAAGACCATTCAGGGACATCACGCACCATGCACTCGAGTGGAACCCAGATGGGAAACGCCGAGTTGGGCGTCCCAGGTGAGGGTGACACGGAGGAGACCGTGAGAAGAAGGAATGAGAGCTTCTGGGTAGTTGTGGAGCCAGGTTGAAAAGATTGCAGAGAACAAAGTGGAATGGAGGTTTGCTACTGAAGCCCTACGTTTCACTAGGAACCCAAGGGACAAATAATAGTAATGATAGTACCAATATAAACACTCAGAAATCTTCCACACAAAATAGTAAAACAATATTACAAAAGTGAAAAAAGGAGGAATTATTGAGTAAACAGAAAATAAGCGACCATGGGATATCCATTAGAAAAGCTCCCATAACCGTTTAAAATATATTCTTGAAAAACAAAGTGGTTACAACTGGTATCATTACTAAACCTTTACTGATAGCATATCAAACCAGTGATTGTTGTAATGAACTAAGTCCTATCAAAGAATTTGCGATTCACTAACAGTTGCCTACCCGATAAAACAGCGCTTTCTCACTTTTCTGAAAGCCATAAATTTATTGACTTTCCATTTTTTCCTACCACTTAAGGAACTAGTGAAACGTGGTTGATATTGAAGCTACTGATATGGAATACATAAGATATGTTCAAGATATCAAAGCCGTATACTCATTATATTACCTCAAAGTTGCTTAAATAGTCCTGTCACTAAGTGTGAACAATCCTATATAGACAGCAGTGGTCAAGTAGAAGCAATTGCTAATCATTGTCGGTCGAAAAATATCACATCGGTTAGGTATGCTAACAGGCTTCTTGTTGTGAAATGTTGTACATCTACTATTAAGTAGTCAGCGACGTCGAAACAGTACCGGAATTGGCCCGGATTGGCCTACACAAATCTAGCTTTTGCTTTGTACTGAGAAATTTATCACGCGACTACCCCGGTACACTAACTATTCAACTATTTCTTGCACTTCACTATTAATGGTAAATCCATCCATGGACTCCTAAATTTCCTACAAACATAGTTGACATCTCAATATTGAAAAGCGAATAATATGCTTGTAAACTTGAATCACCGGGTGATCGACTATGCTCTATGTTATTATCATTCTAATGCCAAGTGAGAAAAAAATTTCCACGATGTTGTCCCAAGAATAAATTTGATTGGCTAACGAAATTGAACAACCTTCTTAAATTCCACTACTGGATCATGACAACAGAAAGCGATGATTGTATTTTGTTGGTGTGACTGACATTTCTTTGGAAATAGTTTTCAAGATATCAATTGACTTCATCGACTGGTTATTTCAGAACTTATTCCTGTCTAACATATAGAAAGAAACTTTAATATTGCAATATACAACGATTGTCAGTCTGAAATATATGTGATGAAATCCAAGCACTCAGTGGAGAACGAATGTATCAAAAATGTATTTATAACTTAAGTGAAACATTCTGGTTCATGAGTCAGTTTCCTACGTGTGTTGTACAGTCTGCAACGTATGATTCTAACCAATATTTTGGATGCAACTGTTTCCACTTCACGTAGACCTTTTATAATGATGGTCTCATTCTAGAGTGATGACACGTTTCCAATCTATCTAACCTACTTAAATATTCTAGTTCGCTCTCTGACTAAAGTCTTACCATTATACTACAAGAAGTTTAGAAAATAAGTTGTTTCAGTCAGGTGTTATTGTCTTACTCTAGATCTCACCTTCCTAAGACCTTTTTCCTAATGTTTATTTGAGATCTTGAATTGTATAAATCAAGTTATTTTACCAAATGAATGAATTTATCTTTTCAGGTTTGATCGATAAAATTGTTTCTGATTTTTTACAAAACTAGTGTAGAAGTATGTTTACATGACTTACCAGTCTCTTCCTTCTCAGATTTCAAATGTCTCAATGACGAATGGCAGTTCATTGTACACACTTTTGTTAAAGAGCTGTGTAAAAAATCAATTGTCTCAATAAATAGCCTGATAATAATGCCTATAGATATAAAAAGGATTATAAGGAGGTAGAAATGCTTTATTTATAGATCAAAATAAAGCATTTGCAGAAAGAAAAAAAGTAAAATTATTCAGATAAATTTGATCAGAATGTAATGAATGACATACTTTCTGCTTCAAAATTCGTGAGATTATGCTTAAAAGAGTCTTGTTTTAACTTTCTGAGATGGTGCCATCTATCCAAATCAACATAGGACCCACCATTACTGCCTTACGGTCTGAGTTGCCACAGCTCATATCGGTAAATCAAGTAAAAAGGCAGTGAAGTGGAAGATGAAGAAAAGATAATTCAGTCAAAAGAAATATAAAGTACTAAAAGAGAGGAATTAAGAGTGAGAAAATGTTGAGGTTCAGTATAATGGTTAATGTGAAGATAAAGTGTGCATTCATCTGCGCCACTGACATCTGTTCTGAGCCATATTACAACCACTGGTTTCTTTTGTCTTGCCGACGCCGACCGGCTAGTCTGCATCGCACTATATGGCTCAAAAAAAAACAGTCAAAGACTTCATACATAGATGCCATGTTTTAATTTGGCTGCCTCTAGCTCTTTTCCATCCTGAACCTAAGATGGTACACTAACTAATGGATAAATTACAATTAAAACAAACTTCATTTGTAGCCTCAAATTATATTTTGCAACGACCAATAGATAACAAATAAATAATAAATGTGATAAAATCATTCAAAATCAATCAGGTAAATTTGCATGGGCTAGGTTGTAAGCCATACGTATGATGTGACGACACATGATACTCAACCAGGTTGCTGAGACCGTAGTAGATGACGTGGGATTTAAAGTCAGGACTCATTGTTTGAAAGTCAGTTGCTTAAGCCAACGAGTCCAGTGTCGAAATAGATGCACTGGTGGATCACATCAGAAGTCTTTATAATCTAGAAACTGTCAATCGAATAATCAAAGTGTTATCATTCAATGATTCAGTTTTTAGTTCACTACCTCCCGATTTAATGCTTAAATTTCATATAGAACAAACAGCCTACGAATTCATTCACTTGCTCTGTCTGCACGAAACTGTAATGAAAGTACCGTTCTATTAATGATGGATAGTGGCTAGCAATGGAATCCAGGACGTGCGTTTCGTCCTATTTGGGACTCACCAGCTGAATGTGCCTGTCTTCCAATGAGAGATGTTGTTCCCACCGGGACTTGAACCGCTTCAAATGCCAGAGCATTATCCACTAGGCTACCGAGCCACAATAGTCACTTGAGCGACGGGTATAGTTTTAGATAGGCACAGATAAAGCCAACATATAAACTCACACATAAGTCCACTGGTTGAAGTTGCTATACATCACAGTAGCATGCAAAGAACAAAAGGATAGAAAAAGTTGATATCAAACTAGACAAAGATGTATGGGAATGAGACGAATTTGAAAATGAAGGATGATGAAAATACCAAAGTACCATTCTGTTTATTTTCCTATTTCTCCCCATAATTATCCACTTTCTAGGATAAACTGACAAATTAGCTTTTTTGTGTATAATCTTCGCAACATTATATAAATGCTTTTCCTTTTGGAGTTTGAGATCTGTATGTCTTGCTTCAATATCCGGTTAATTTATACTTCCTTCCTAATAGAAGGCTGTTATAACTGTTGGACATATCACTGAAACAAGAGTCTCTACGGTGATCATTCCAAAAATCAGTGTTAGTCAAGTAATATGAAGTCTACTATTACCTTATTTTATACTCTATATTCAAGTGAGATATAAGAATATGAACTCGAACCCCAAAAGTTTTAGCAATCCCCTTGACAACAAGGATATCTTATTGATAAATTCTTACAAACAAAAGACGTAATCCATATGTTTCCAATTTTCTTTAAACATCTACCGTCAAATGTAACTTATTATGATGGAAAACGACATTTTGATTTTCATTAATTTATTAATATTTTTCTACAGACTATTTCAAATTGTGAATACTTGTTAACTAAAGCTCGTCAAGCATGTGAGAATCAATCTGATCTGAGTATTTTAACTGCCGATCTCATAAAGCATAATGGTCTTCTAGAAACCCTTGCATCTAGACTTATCAAACAATCACCGTTCCCTTCTGAAGCACATATTATTGATTCTTCTCAAGATATGCATACACTGTCTTCACTCAATGATAATCTGGATACAAGTGAGCAGATTACAGAAGCTACAGATAATTTAAATGGAAAATCTTTGAAATTATCTGGTACAGTAGACTTGGAATCTTCAGATTTACATCATTACAATGAAGCTAATAAACAGATTGTTATCGGTTCAGCACGATTACTTAGTCAGGTATGTAATTTCATCTAAAATTTGAGTACTGTTAGTTATTTTCTAAATGTTAAAACTGTATTTTGAGTATTTTGGATGCGATTACAGCATCATTATGGGATCCATAAGCATGATTCATGTGTGTAAAATAGTTGTATATGAAGTTATCAGTGGCATTAGTTTTACTGAGCTAAATTACATTTAAATCACTTTTTCTGCTAGATACTTCCATCGATTCTACACCTGTAGACATCACTGACTTGCTTTTTCTGTTAGATATGAATCACTGTAAGTTTTATTAGATTTCCCTGTTGTATTTGAAACCTGAAAAATAAACTCTTATCATTGAAATGGATATTAAATCTTGGCATATTATGAGATTGCTATAAAAGTAATGTTTAGACTACTAAAGAAAACAAATTTACTTTCTGGATTACTAATGCCAGAAAGTAAGAGAATTCGGTGATAAAAATAAATAAATATTATGTATGTCTTTAGTTTCAGCCTATCCTGTCTCCTATCTAACATTTCGGATAGTAACGTATATGCCACTTGGGAGCTTTAAAGCTACCCTATCAACAATTGAAATAACTAATCAGGTTTCTTGATTTCGTCTGGAATGGCAGATTTTCACAGAATCATCATCATCATCATTATCAACATAGGACCAGGCATTACTGCGTAACGGTCCGAGTTGCCACACCTCATATCAGCACATCAAGTAAAAAGGTAGTGAGGTGAAGGATGAAGATAAGTGAATGCAGTCAAAAGAAATATAAAGTACGAGAAGAAAGGAAAGAGGAGTGACAAAATAGTGAGATTCGGTATAGCGTTGTTAAGATGAGGATAATGTGTATACATCTGCGCCACTGACTTCACAGAATAAAGAAGTCCAATTAGCTTTCTTAGTTGTTGCTAAGATAACCTTTAAAGTCACTCATGTTTTGAAATGGTGGAGAATATTTGTAGCTCAAAGAAATTGTCTTGGTTGTATTTTGTTCTCTGAGCTGGGTTGTTTAATCATGGAGCTTTCATCGTTTTGCTAGACGAAATCTTCAGCACTAACTTCAGCATGAAGTGAACTGTCAATATCTCTCCATGAGTGATTTAGTAGCTTGCCCTGACGAACTGGTTTGTGATTGGTTTTTTCCTTCGAATGTTGTGTCATTGACTATACAGGTTCTCCTGTTGGCTGTTCCTTTGCTTGACCTCTGACCTTTCTCTCTTCTATCATTTTTCTCATTGGTTGATAGATTGGGTCTATGTCTATGCATCTATGGATTACTGACTGACCTGAATGCCAAGCTTCTAGGAATTCTCTGATATTCTTTGTCTTTCCTCTTTCCGTCCAAAATTTCTACATTGTCAAAATTGAACTCATGTCCATAATTATCCATGTGCATTGAAATGAGTGATGAAATCTCGTGACGTTTAATAGCCAATTGGTGTTCATGTGGACGAAGGCGAAGAGGGCGACCACTTTGTTCAATGTAGTGTTGACTACAGTTATTGCAGTTGATTTCGTAAATAATATTCGATTTATTTTTTTGGTTGTTTCATCCTTTGGTCGGTATAATAGTGTTTGAAGAGAATTTGTTGGTTTATGAACCAAACCAATTCCAAGTGGCCTCAGTAATCTTGTCGTGATTTCTGATATATCCTTTATATACGGTAGGATGATGGGTTTCTTGATTTCTGTCAATGACCTTATAGTTGATGTTGTACAGGATAGGCATCTTCTGATCAAGTTTCGCGGGTAGCCGTTCTTCTTTAGAATAGACATCAAGTAATTTTCTTCGTTTCTCTGTGAAGTTGTTGTACTTCAGTGTGCTCTCACTCTTCTGAATAAAGTCTGCACGTAACTGATTTTGTGCGTTGTTGGGCTGTTACTACTGTAGTTGAGTATTTCATCAGTGTGTGTTGACTTTCTGTACACTTGAGTTTCCTGCTTTCCGGTATTTGTCCTATTGACTAAAACATCCAGAAATGGTAGTTGGTTGTTTGACTCCGTTTCCATTGTGAATTTGATGTCATTGAAAACGTCGTTGATCAAGCTATGAATGTTTTTTATATCATCTTTTTAATGATGATATAAGTATCGTCTACATGGCGAATCCAAAATTTTAGTTTAATCACAGGTAGAATGATGGCTTTTAGTCTCTGCACCACTGCTTCTGCAATTAGTCCGGATATCGGTGATGCCATAGGAGTTCCTTTCATTTGTTTCTATATCTTGCCATTGAATTGGAAGTATGTTTTCAGGCACAGGTCGATGACTTCCATCAGACTTGAACATTTAAGTTCTTAAAGGCTTATGTCTTCATTGAGCAGGAGGAACATAGTTTCCTTAACAAATTAGGGTTCCATGGATGTGTATGATGCTGTGACATAGGAGGATACCATTAATTCGCCGTTTTCTATATTCATACTTTTGATCTTTTCTAAGAATTCTGTTGGTGATTTGATGGAGCGTCTACACGATTGAACAAGCTGTTTCAGTTTTCTTGAAAGTTCTCACGATATGATTTATGTTGGAGTTCCTGGAAATGAGACTATTCGTGTTGAGGAATGTTTGGTTTGCGTAGTTTTGGTTCATAAACCAACAAATTCTCTTCAAACACTATTATACCGACCAAAGGATGAAACAACCAAAAAAATAAATCGAATATTATTTACGAAATCAACTGCAATAACTGTAGTCAACACTACATTGAACAAAGTGGTCGCCCTCTTCGCCTTCGTCCACATGAACACCAATTGGCTATTAAACGTCACGAGATTTCATCACTCATTTCAATGCACATGGATAATTATGGACATGAGTTCAATTTTGACAATGTAGAAATTTTGGACGGAAAGAGGAAAGACAAAGAATATCAGAGAATTCCTAGAAGCTTGGCATTCAGGTCAGTCAGTAATCCATAGATGCATAGACATAGACCCAATCTATCAACCAATGAGAAAAATGATAGAAGAGAGAAAGGTCAGAGGTTAAGCAAAGGAACAGCCAACAGGAGAACCTGTATAGTCAATGACACAACATTCGAAGGAAAAAACCAATCACAAACCAGTTCGTCAGGGCAAGCTACTAAATCACTCATGGAGAGATATTGACAGTTCACTTCATGCTGAAGTTAGTGCTGAAGATTTCGTCTAGCAAACGATGAAAGCTCCATGATTAAACAACCCAGCTCAGAGAACTAAATATAGCCAAGAAGTCACTCATGCCACCTATCGTGTTTGAAATAAATGTACGGATCTTGTGTTTTTAAAAATCTTAGATATTAACTTGTGCACAGAAACTTGTCATACAATAGGCGTTGGCTATTATTACATCTTTTAATTTCTCACTGTTAGATGAAAGTTTTTATACAATTTTATCCGGATGCAAGTTTTAAACGAGGAATAAATTTCACAAAGTACAATTTAGTAAATTCATAAGTTTCAGCATAGTACTTAAGTTGAGTACTTCATATATTTGATGATACATATAATAATACAATACAGGAAAAATATAAACATATTTCACACTACGACAATCAATGCGTCTTACCACCACTAAGACGAAAACATTTTGACGGGTTAGTTAGCGTTTAATAAGGTTGGAGATGTTAAAATTTTATGGATTAACGGTTGATTACATCCTTAAGAATAGAACAGTCAATGAGGGAAAAAGAAATTCAGCATAATGATACAGTTCGTGGGCTCACAGGATTGTGGAATGAATAAATGGAGCAAGTTAAAAAAGAATATAAGAACAAAGCACAAAAAAGCAATATCGAAAACGATAAATTGTTCGGATACTTAAACTCACAGTGATTAGAGCTGAAAAGAGTAGTTGACTAACGAAATCATAATTCATTGGAATTGGTGTCAGGATAGATTTAAATTTAACAATTGAATCTGGAGGTTTGTTTTGTATGTTAGCACTATATCTTGATCTGACATAAGTAAGGAAATGCTGCCCTCTTGATTTCGACGTAGTAGTTGAACGGTAACGTACTTGCCGCAAAACTTTATATTACCTGGTTAGATATCTAGCAGTGTCGTGGGTGCGCACTACTGAAGATTCCTGAACTAGAATGAGACAGCTGTCTAGTGCTCCCAAGTTTTTAGTGGTTCTCCAATTGATTTCAGCTCATGGTCAATACTACCTTGGGATTTAAGCTAGCCAATATCTTCCTGTTCTGGGGATTTTGTTACCGAAGGCCACTACAATTGTGAGAGTTTCCTTATTTCTCATTGTCCGCTAATAGATAGGCACCTCACATATAAGTTCACTGGTTGAAGCTGCCATACTTCACAGTACCATGCAAAGAACAAAGGGATGGAAAAAGGCTGATACGAATTAGACGAAGGTGTATGGGAATGAGACGAATTTGAAAATGAAGGATGGTGAAAATAGTTAGGTTTTAGATAGCGTCAAAGGGTGAATAAATCTCGGCCATTGTACCTGATTTTCTGCCATTTCACCAGAGGTCCTCAAACACTGATTCCCATCGTCCTGGTGACCCCAACCAAGTAGTCTACAGCTCCTTACATGACTCAGACCAACAATATAAAAACTTCATATTATTGCTTGTGACTTCCCGTCGTTGATTATACCGAATACATCGATATCTATTGGCATATGGCCTCCTGAGCAGATACCTCAATATTACTTGTGGTTTCAGCTTGATATTAATGATGGATAGTGGCTAGTAGGAGAATTCAGGATGCGCGTTTCGTTAGCTGGATGCACCTGCATCTCAGTGAGTGATGTTGTTCCCCACTCGGTCCATCAACGACGATAAGTTACGAGCAATAACATAATAACTATACTCATCGCACAGACAGCGTCCATCGTGACTCAGTGGCCTGGTGGAAAACGTTCTGTCATTTAAACTGGTTGCTCGTGAGTCTAAGTCTTAGTGAGAACAACATCACTCATTGGAAGGTAGGCCATCCAGCTGGGGAATCCCAAGTAGGACGAAATACACCCTGGATTCCATTGCTAGCCACTATCCATTATTACGATCAGA